CTAAATTTCCAAAGAAATTTTTTGTTTTTTAGCAAAGGGATTCTTACACTAACTGATAATAGAAAGTTTTAATGCGTAAAAGAAGTTTGAAATTTACTGTAGAAAAGTTTCAAAATGGAGAGTTTCTGTAAAACTGTGATAAGGGTTTACTGGAAATGCGAAACGAAATCAATCACATAGCTGTCGTACTGTTGTGGCGATATTACTCTGCCTATAGTACTCCAGAAGTTCTCTAAATCAGGCGCTGTAGCTTATTGTTCTCTTTTTTTTTCATTTTGTCTATTATATTAATTCTTGTCTAATAAACGACAGTGGCTGAGCGGAGGCCAAACAGTAGCGTTTGTTTCAGAATACTTCATTGTTCAAAGCACTCGGTAAAGAACATCTTCAGGTGGTACAGTTTTTGCTACAAAGTTATGTTGAGGTAAATGCAAGAAATAAATGGCAGGTAAGGTTCACTTGCGAAAAAGTAGTAAATTTTTAGTTGTTATCACTAGCTTTCAAAAATGGTTACTACTTCAGCACTGAAGTTGTCTAAGTATCAGATCTAGAAGCGTAAGCAAAAGATCACTTTTTCAAGCAGAAATTTTCGTAATTTAAATTTCATGTTTTTTTTTTTTTTAATTTGATAGATTATATCGATAATATACAACGTAAAATTTTACTAACTTTTTTTTCTTCTTAACCTAAAGATTTACAAAACACAGTGAATAATATGAAAAAGTGTTGTCAAAAATGAAAAGCAGGAAAGAAAAAATTGGTTGTATGATATATTGAAAGTGGAAAATTAAGACAAAGAAAAGCAAATGACGACAAAATTAAGATAAGGCAAAAAAAACCATCTTTTATTAATCAATGAAATAAAATTTTTGAGCTGAAAAAAATAAGTTTTAGCAATTGTAAAGAAACTACTAATTGCTTATCAAAGTACAGCTCAACAAAGAATAACAAAAATTTGAGGCTTACTGTTTAAAAAAAAAAAATCAAAAAATTGTCAAAAATACTTAAAAAATCTTAAACTTCAAGAAGATTTGTAAAAAAACAAAAACTAAAATTGATTTTTTTATTTTTTAGATTACTTTCTTGCGAAATGTACTGTGTCACAACCATCTCAAATTGGTGAAATTTTCAGCACCAAATAACGCCTAAAATCAAGGCGAATGATAAGTGATAGATACAATTTACTTGTGAACAATAATAAGTATTTTTTACCACATTTTATTATTCTCAAACAGACTGTTTTGAGTCACCGCAAAAGCTTTCTGCCGTAGCTGAGGTTTGAAAAAGAGAGTAGGAGATTTTAGCTCATTTAGCCTGTTTACTGCAAAACTTAACTTCCAAAAAATTTTTGCAGAATTATACAAAAAATTTCGCAAAAAAAAACTGTAAATTTTATTTTTAACGATTTGTATATTTTGCAGCTATAAACCATATCCATTTGATACAGCATAAAAACCTATGTCTTCTTGGCCAACTTACCTACTTGTTTCATACAACGTTTTGCAAACAAACGATAACGGTATTTTACCTTTGAAGCTGTAACTGACAAACTGTACGATTACACAAGTTACAAAAATTATACAAAAAAGAAGCATATGCTTAAACAGCAACATCTACACCAAGCTGAAAGCTTCTAATCGTACTTGGTAATTTATATAACACTTTTAAAAATAACGTATAGAGCTTTAAAGCTTTGACAAACTGGTCGGTCGCCTTTCGGGGAATAAGTTCCTTATTTCTCAAGCAAAAAATACAAAGAATTTATAACCTAACTACTACAGATTGACTTTAATAATTAAATTATTAGTAATTTTATCTGTTGGCACAACAAAGAACTAAGTTTATTATTTTTTGTAGTTAATGACTTTAAAGAAATAAGCTTTTAAGCAACTTATTTGCAATTATTTGATAGCTTTTACACAAAAAAGATCTCTAAAATCTGTAAACTGTCTAATGCATTATCCGGTAGAACTAAGGCATGCCTTGTTCCTTTTTTTCGCCTAATTTTGTTAATTTACTGGTATCATTGCTTAACTCATATAGAAGAATATGCATTTTACAAATACTTTTTATCTTTTTTTCCTAAATTTATCATCTTGCTTTATAAAGTTTTCTGACGAAAGCCTGTGTGAGCTTGGCGTAGTTATTACGTCAATTAAGTTTGATTCAGTTTCTCGGCTTAATCTTGGCTTACCAAAAACTGTTTACTGTCTCGCAGCAGAGAGTTTTATACTGTTATATTGTTACTGTTTTATGCTCTTAGAACCACTTTTCTGTGTGGTGTTATCGACTAGAGCTTTCAACTGGCTACAGCAAAATAATTTATTCAGGAAAATAGGAACTTGAATAGACCCTTTTTTTTCATTTTTTGTTTCTTTCATTAACCTCATTTTTATCCTTATCTCTAGAAAAATTTTAAAGATTCTTAAATTTCTTATTTTAAAGTTCTTAAAGATTTCTGACCCAAAAAACAAGCATTGTAGGTAGTTTAAAAACTATAATCTACTGCTTCTAAGTCATACAGTTAAATTTACCAGCAAAAATTTTAGAATTAATTGAACAAAAGTAAAAATAAAGTAGAAAACATGTTATTGATAATTGTTTAGATAAAATTTGACTTTACAACGTATAATTATGCTACAAAAGTTACGATTTTTATCAATATTGAAGCTTAAACTAGGTAGGATCTGGTTTAAACAGGTCAAAAAAAGTGCAGATGAAAATGCGTTTTAGGAGATTGCTAAGACTGAATAGTTGCTAAGGTTATCAAGTTGTTTACAGTTAAGGTCTTTTTTGTTGTTTTTAAGTTACATAATGCTGAGATAAATCATAGTCGAATTAAAGTGACTCACTAATTTATTGAGCAAAGTTTTTTTTTTTTGTGGTTATAAATAACTGTATTTTAGTGAATTTTTTGTTCTGCTAAAATGCAAATGTATGTGGTTAACAGAAATCAGAAAGAATATGTTAGAGCTGTCGTCATGCTGAACCTACGAAAATTATTTTGCTTAATTTCTAATCTATTTAAAAAATGCTTAGTTTTCGCAATTTCTTTCATTGACCTCGTTTAACCTACCGTCGATCGCAGTTGTCAAGAATTCGTTGTCTGAAAATTAAAAATGCTAAACTTTACAGTGTTTTCATCAATGTTACCACAAAAATCAGTTTTGCTTTTCAAATTATTAAAGTTTACAATGAACATAAAACTTACCACAATATCAAATCCAAAAAAAAAAAAACTATTTTTGGTTGTTTTTTACGGTAATACTTAATATACCTGTTGTTTTTTTTGTAATTTTTACTTCTTTTTAAGAGTTCTATAATGCTATGTTTTTTTTGTCAACAGTAAAAATAAGGTTTGATATAAAAAGCAAAATTTTCATCTTTTACTTCTTTACTCTCTTCAGACTTTCGTCTTTTATCATTTGCTCTTCTCTTCCTCTTTTCTTTTTTTTTTTT